AGTTTTAAGTGTTTTATTATATAAATGTTCGAGTGTACATCTGTAAATCACGCAAATGGAACCCTCAGATTATGTTCAAAATTAATCCCGAATAAATTTATACACAATTATTGAAACTAAGATTTTTTGAAGGACATAGATTGAAATTAGTGTCAATGTTGACCAGCGTGTTCAGTGATGTGTAACACTGATACCCAAATAACATGCATTGATTTTCTGCTAATTATGCCCAAAGGCGATTGAAACCTCAGGTGTGGACACCATTTTATACAATCCCATTGTATTAACCGGCCACGTAAACAAAAACAAAAGAAATAAGAAACAAGTCACAATTCCCGATATTTTCAAATGTTTATTTTTTAAATAAATGTATTCTTTTAATGACTTGTTTATAAATTAAAAACTAATTCATAAATATTAAGTCCCCGAATAATTGTTCACATTGTTTATGTGACAGAAGAATGGTAAAATAACTTTATTTCATGGTCATTAAATAAATAATTAGGTTTTATTTGAGGGTGGTAAAAAATAGCATGGAGTGCTCTTTTTTAAGCATGGTATTAGCTTTTTCAATTAAGAAAAAAATCCAGTACAGTACGTTCCTGAATACATGTATCTTACTGAAATGACAAGTTTGTTTGCTTTTTGTTTGTTAATGCAAACTTTGAGTACATATGTAATTTGACAGCATTAATTTATTAAATAGGCCTAGATAATTTTTTTTTCAAACACCTGTATTGAAGTTTAATTTAAGGGATAAAAATTATCCCCTGACTTCCCTTTTTAACTACTTTTATTTTCTTAAAATTAATTCTAGACTACAATTGTGTAAATTTACAGCCCTCTGAAGACATTTAGTAATTACATGTATAACTATCTCTATTATTTTATTTTATTTTTGTAAGAAATTATTACTCTTTTTTTTTTATTTGCTTTTATCTTAAACACCTCTCTGCAGAAAGTAAACAAAACAACAACAAGGAGCTGCAAATTCAGAATACACAAGGGGCGGAGCTATCATGTCACTCGGAACCTTTTATCACGCATGAGTGAACAAAGCAGTCCCAGAAAGCAGTCCCAGGGACTTTCTAGAGCAGTCCCAGAGCAGTCCCATAGCGGTCCCAGAGCAGTCCCACAGCGGTCCCAGAGCAGTCCCAAAGCAGTCCCGGGGACTGCTTTCTGGGACTGCTTTGGTGTCAGGTTGGGTCTGGTTGGTACTGTATGATTGGTAATATTTATATGGAAGCATCCTCAGGTGGTGTAGATTCAAGTTTGTTCAAATCATGACCTCCAGGGCTTAGGGTGGGGCCACAATGAAAGTTCAAACTTGTAGAGAAAAAAGTCACAGTTAGTCAAAAAATGATGTAAGCATCCTTAGTTAGTGTAGATTTAATTTTGTTCAATCATACCCCCCCCCCCTCCACTCCCTTTTAGGGTTAGGTTGGGACCACTTATGCATTTAAGCTTTTCAATACTAAGCTGATTTTTCCTCTTTTCCTAGCCACATTGCTCAGGTGAGCGATGTGGCCGCTGGGCCTCTTGTAAAAAAAATCTTCTCATGTACAACAAAGCAATTTGTTTAATTGACTGATTTGTGCTTTTGCCTAGCCAATGTGCTCAGATGAGCGATGTGGCCCATAGGCCTCTTGTTTTCAATATTTCTTTTAATATAAAATTTAATTATAAATTTTGATTGTGTAAAAATGACTCCTGAAAATATTCCTAGAAACTTTACAGGAACAACGTATTATACATTTTTAGAACTTTTATGGTATTGTAAAGTTACATTTTCTCATTCTTCACCAAATTATGTGACATTCGGCAGACTTCGGATGATTCTGTCACCTTCATCAATATTAAACACGTTAAGGTACGAATCGGCAGAGGCGTTCCGAGTGATTTTGTAGCTTGAACAGCCAAACATCAATTTATGTTGTGAAACTAAACAGATATCATTTCTTTAGTGAAAATGACACCAATTTAAGCGAAGATATTTAAATTTTGGAAGAAAAAAATGTTTGTGATATTTTACCTTAATAACTCTCTATTCACTGCACATCGAAGAGTTCTGATTCTGTGAGTCACTAAGATGACCTTTTGCTATAGATTTTCGTCCATCGTCTTGTGTTAACATTTGAATATTTTCAGCTTTTTCTCTGGAATAACTGAGAACCAATATGTATTACTATTACGTAAAACTGTGCTTCGGTCGACAATGGTTTTCCTGAGAATCCCGATGAATATTTTCAATGTTACCCTCAACTACATGTTATATGTATTAATTTAGTTGAATTTGATTTGTTAGCCTCAAATCCATGCAGTTCCTATAATAATTAGGCCCCGCTCTGCGGGCGCCCTATAGTGATCAGTCTGTCCGTCTGTCCTTCCGTCCGTCTGTTCGGCTCCTCTCTCCTTGGCCCAATCTGGCTTATACCTCACCCACAGAGTACCTTTGGGTAAAGGGTGTGCAGTGACCTTGAACCATGTTTCTAGGTCAAAGATTAAGGTCATAGCGGAATCATATGAAAATTCTTGTCCGGAGCATATCTTCTCTCCTCTTGGTCTAAAGTGGCTCATACTTAACTAACAGAGTGCCACTGGTCAATGGATGTACATTGACCTTGAATTTAGTTTCTGGGTCAAGGGTCAAGGTCAAAAATAGCCTCTGTTTAAATTCTTGTTCGGAGCATATTTTCTCTCTCCTTGGCCAAATCTGGTTCATACCTCACCCACAGAGTGCCTTTGGATAAAGGGTGTGCAGTGACCTTGAAACATGTTTCTAGGTCTAAGGTTAAGGTCATAGCAGAATTATATGAAAAATCCTTGTTCAGAGCATATCTTTTCTCCCCTTGGTCCAATGTGGCTTATACTTCACTCACAGAGTGCCATTGGTCAATGAATTAGCAGTGACCTTGAACAAAGTTTCTAGGTCGAGGGTCAAGGTAAAAAATAGCCTCTCTGTTTAAATTCTTGTCCGGAGCATATTTTCTCTCTCCTTGGCCCAATCTGGCTCATACCTCACCCACAGAGTGCCTTTGGGTAAAGGATGTGCAGTGACCTTGAACCATGTTTCTAGGTCTAAGGTTAAAGTCATAGCAGAATTATATGAAAAATCCTTGTCAGGAGCATATCTTCTCTCCTCTTGGTCCAATGTGGTTCATACTTCACTCACAGAGTGCCACTGGTCAGTGGATGTGCAGTGACCTTGAACAAAGTTTCTAGGTCAAGGTCAAAAATAGCCTCTCTGTTTAAAATTTTTGTTTGATGCATAATTTCTTTCCCTTAAGTCCAGTCAGCCTCAAACTTTACCAATTAACTTAGGGTACGAAACATTTGTGATTTTCCTTCCATATTTTGATAGAGGATATGCAACATTCGTAATTTTTGTGCCGTTTTTGATAGAGGGTATGGAACACTTGTGATTTTCGTGCCATTTTTTTTATTATAAAAAGGATGACATAGAAGCCCTTTAGACTCAAACAACACATCCCTTAATAGTACACAAATGTTCCTCTTCAAAATAAACCCTTTTCAGCTACCTTACATTTTTATGTTCATTGCTGAAAGCGGGGCCCTTTGAGATGGCCACCATCTCAATGATATCTTGTTTATTATACCTTTGTAAATTTTTATGCCCCCTTCGAAGAAGGGAGTGCGTATTGCTTTGCAGCTGTCTGTCGGTCCACCAACAGATTCCGTTCATTTTCTTCGCAGAGGTTGCACATACTGTAATGAAATTTTGTATACAGATTTATCATAAAAATATCTAGGTCAAGTTCTGTTTTGGGTACCATGAGCAATTTTGGACAGAGTTATGCCCCCTGAACTTCCAATTATTTGCAGTTTCCTTTCATTTTCCGTTCATTTTCTTCGCAGAGGTTGCACATACTGAAAAGAAATTTGGTATACAATTTTATCATAAGAATATCTGATCAAGTTCTGTTTTGGGCAATTATGGACAGAGTTATGCCCCTTGGACTTAGAAAAATTCCAATTATTTGGGGGAGGGGGACATAAGTGTCTCTTGTTTGTATATAAAAATATGACAAATAAACCTACTAACCCTAACCCTGAAATTCTCTGTTTTAATTATGGACTTTCATAAAATACCACTTGAGTTATGCATCAAAAGACATGAATATAATTTTAAAAGATAATATTGACCTGTGACATGTTTAATTTGATCTTGCATTAGTTCATATCCAAAAATTGCAGTCGGAAAAATAATAAAATAAAAAATAAAATAAAATAATTTTCCTACCTACTTCCCCCCTTTTTTTCGGGCTCGTAGCAGGAAACAAGACTATTATTTTCTTTGGCCTAATATACACTCAAGATTAAAAATGAAAAGAATTTCTAGTAATTTTTAGTTAAAGCTGTATAAAGTGAGCACTCTCCAAATGACCATTACACTCTGCTGTCATTTATAAATTATAATAATTTATAGGTCTAGCAAAACCATACGATAAACACCCTCCATTATCTCTCTATGTGGAGGGATAGGAGGGGAGAGGTCAAGGTAATGAAGCTAGTCTTATTACGGATTCAAATCATTCTGTGTATCGGTTTGGGATTTTGATAAACCGTCTTAGGTTTATACGTATACCTTATACATATAATTCGTACAATTTGAATACAAAATATAAATCCAAAAAGACAGTTTTAATCGATCATCCGTTATCTTTACCTACCAACTTTACGGAGAATTCTTATATCCGGGTTTGGGTTTGGGTTAGTTGAAGGATTATTTGTTGGTTTATTCTCTATATAAATTACATGTATATGCCCCCTTCCCCTAATCCGCATGGATCATCCGCTACTGACAAGTTTTGTCTTCAGCTTTTAGTACAAATGACAAGAGCTTGAGTCTAGTGCCATTTATATTCAGTTGAAAAATACAATATTGTATGATGATATGGAATGAAAGGTAAATGATATTTTGGTTATCTATGACTTTAAACCTTTTAATGTTATTTAATGTTTAAATTTCACAATTTCAGATAAACATCATAACTATTCACCAGAAGTCAGATGTCTACTGTACTGCTTACTGTTAACTGAGAAATATCAACTGAATCTCAATGAACAATCACACAGAATCACAAGGGATAAAATCAGAGACAGATATTTCACTGATATTTCTGATGATGGCTTGGTAGATCTTCCTAATGGAATCACAGAAACGCATAACGGTGTGATGACCTTTAAATCGGACGATGTCAGACATGACGTCATGTACGCCTTTGTTACGGAGTGTTTGGTGGAGGACAATGATCTGGAGTTTTTCCTGACCACTGCGTCACGTGACGTGATATCAGAATATTGCAGGTCCTGGCGGTGTAAGAGGAGTGAGGGAGAGAGATGTCTGTATGTACCGAACAGACCGGAGAAGATGTACGACCTCTTCATAGACAAACTACAGCTGGACATCATCACACACTGTACCGTGTCTGACTGGGGGATTCATGACAGTATCAGTGAATGTTGTGAGTATCATTTCTCTATCATGTCAAATGTAATGCATCAGTTAGGATTTGATAAAAGGCTTATCTAAAAAGAACCAATGATAACCTAAATGAATTGTTTGAGCACAAGCAAGTAGTATAATTAAATGTCACTTTTATACACAGAATGTGTAACTAAATAATTTTAAAGTATTTTGAAACGGTTTATATATTTTTGTTTTAAAAATAATATCAACTGAAATTTTATAATGTATATATATCAGAAAAATGTATTATATAATTCTTTCCAACAAGTTATTATTATTTATTATTATTATTATTATTATTTTTTCTTTATTTTTAGTAGTATATATTTTTCACGTTATAAACTCCAGAGAGAATATATAATAGTAGGTAATAAATAACTGTAAATATAAAAAAAGTTCTTTCAATTTCTGAGGTAAAATGAACTTTTCTTGTAAATTAACACCTCCTTTCAATATTATGTATGGGAAATCCAGCTTCATCTCTAACACACTTAAGGAAAGGCTTCTAACCCCTTTCCTACAAATATGTATTTCACGTGGAGATCAAAGTAGAAAGCATGTCAGAATTTGATGAGTGGATGTTCATTCTCTGTTCTCAAATAGAAAAAAAAGACGGCGAGCATGATATTTGCCATAAAATACCAGGAGTTGAAGTTTGATATTTTTTTTTATTAATGTCGTTCTAAGTAGAAAGATTAAAATTAAATACAAGATAGAGGAACTTTTCTTCATCTCTCCTGGTTCTAAAAGGAGAAATTTCAGTAGCTCTTAAATTTCGCATAAACATGAACAGTATGCCTAATCAAGGTCAGAGCCGAGAGCACTGAATATTAGAAAGGGTTCAGTTGTGCGTGTTTTTTTTTTTTTTTGGGGGGGGGGGGGGCGGCATCCTGGTAAGATTACACTGATTATGTATGTAAATAAAAACAAACTATCACCATTTCATCCCACTGGTCGGCTACTATCCCAGGATAGAGCACATATATCCGTTGTACATAATGGTTTTTCTCATGTGTCAGAAAGTATTCAGTACAGTCTTTTTTTGCATATAAAGTAGTATGCACTGATATACTTGTATTACATTAAAGGGATATCCAAGTGACTTAAATCTTTATTTCAAAAATAGCTATAATATACATGTGTAAAGATTATCGGATCAAGTGTTCTTTACCATTTTCGATATATATCTAAGGTCTTGGAAACACGTTCTGTGGTACTTGAATGGTCCTTTATCTTCTCTATATCAGACCGAATATAGAAACATCGGGTACAAAATAAACATTTTTTTTCATTCTTGTTCATTCAGTTTCAATGAAGAGGCCCGAGGGCCTGCCATACCAGTGGTGGACTATCATCCCAGGATACAGTACAATTTAACACAGTGGTTTGTCTTACATGTATGTGTCAGAAATTATACGGAAGTGCAGTGTACTGCATATAAAGCGACTTAATTTTCTTTTCCAACATACCTAATGTACATGTATTAAGTTTAACAATTCAAGTGTCCGTTACCATTTTCGATTTATTTATTTTTCTTGGTAGCACTTCATGTGGTTTATGAAATACCCTCAATCCTCTCTATTTTAGACCGGATACAGAGATATCGGGTACCAATACCAAGGGTCATTCCTTGTTTTTTTTCTATGTTAAGCGTCTGCGGACGGATTTGTTTTTAAGTTATAATTTTGTAATAAACACGCACCAAAAATGTATAAATACAAATATTTGCCACACAATTTACCATTCTGAGATTGGCATTGCATTTTTTTTTTAAGTTTTGTACCAAAAATGTATTTTCAGTAAACTAATAGTTTATGTTTGTTACAATGCAAGTAAAATTCTTAGATGATGATGAGGAATACTACAATTATTTTTATAATGTTGATGTGTTTTCCCCCTTTCAGCTTGTATGTTTTCCCGGATAAAAAGATAGGATTTTGATTTAAGGGAGGACGCTAAACATAGAAAAAAAATTGCAATTGCCTAAACAACATCATATTTAAACTTGAAAAGGGAGGTGTTCTAGATCTGCGGATATTTTCAAGACAAATACCTCAATTTTGTCAATGGACTACCAGTAACATCTACCTAGGATACCTCTATAGCTGTCTTAAAATAATAATGAAAGAATTTTCCCAAGATAAGATAAAATGAGACTTAATTGTACATGTATATATTAGAAACTTTCTTAATCCTGAAATAGCTCTGCTGAGTCAAGGGGCTCGACATTTCCAACTTCACTTTAGATCATGGTGGGACTGTAAGTAAGTAAGTAAATATTTTATTATAGTGACTTGTATATAACATAATTTTACATTCATTAGACAAATAAACATACAACACCCGGCCCATCAGACCTACGTATATAAGTCATTTTTAGCAATATAGATATTCATTACATACATGTGATTTTTCTTTGTCTTATATGCATTACATGTATATATGAATCTCGCAGTTTGAAGTGGGAAATGAGTTAATAGATATTTAAATAGAACGTTTAAATCATTATTATGTTAATTTGAAATTCCAGCATTTCTTGAAAAAATCATGTACTACAACAATAAACTTCTAGCCGGAAAAATACCGTGGTACCGGCAACTTCCGTAATTTACATTGCTCGAATTAGACGAAAGGGTCAATATTTATCTTTAGACGAGGGGGTCCATTCGAATATACGCGATTTGAATGGAATAAACGAATTTTTTATGTCATAGATATGTACTTTTTGTGTTAAAATGCGTCCCCGGGCCCTAGATTTCTTGTACTATGTAGACAATGTGGTAATGTTGTATCTCTTTTTTAATCGTATAAATACAATTGTAAATATATTCTTACATGTCATAGTATATGTAAACATGTATTGAATCCCCTTTTTTTTTTTAAATCATAACCATATTAATGAATATCTGGTGTAAGAATAAAAAATTATCACAAGGTTGAAAATACAACGTTACATTTGTGCATTATTTTACGCATTTTGTGACGTTATTAGCGTAACGTTAAGTAACACCGGTATCTTGCGCGACGTCACTGACTGTAATCGTGTTTGAGGATTATTTGTGGGATTCTTACGAGATGCAGTGTCAATCCGATTGCATGAACTAAGACAGAAATATATGTAGAGACAATGTGAACCGACATTTTATCTTCAAATAAAATATTAACATGTTTTTTTTAACCCAGAAAGACCAGCGAAGGTACAACGTAAACATACCGGAGTAGCATATCTTTCTCTCTTATAATGTATTATGGGGTATTTTTTGTGTGGAACGATTAATTATGGATTTTCCTGAGTTTTCCTAAGGAATACATGATAAATAAGTGTAAGATAAATAATTTGTGAAAACATGTCCAACAAACACAGGGGTTGAATTTCGGGGGTGGGGGGTGGGGGTTGTTCCTGTCCACAGGTACCTGTGAAATATATATGATTATTCTGATACCATCTCGCCCATGAGTATCGAATAAGTTGGGAGACGTACATGTAAGCACCATATGCATTTCATAGCGGAATATTACTACATAAATAAGCAAAGTTGACAATGGAAAAACTGAAGTCATCTCGTTTGTCATACAATTTAGTTGTTAGTTGGCCTTAATCGGCGCCTGTCGCCATTCATGCAGAAGTGATGCATGTGTAAACATATTCTGCATGTGTATCATAACAATAAACAATTTCTTTTTAATAATTTCTTCTTATATTTCTCTAAAGATAAAACATTATTTTGAGTTAAGTTTTTAAATCCAAAACAATAAATTGGAATTTTTTCTTCAGACAGGCGTTATTTTTTAATTTTCAAAACATCACTGTCTGCGTTTTTTTAAATCAAGGTATCTTTTGAACTTTTGGTTAACGTTTTTTGTGTGAACATTTTGCTATTCATCTAATAAACAACATTGTGATTCCGTTTCTTTTAACTTTAATTCGCACATCCTCGTATGTCAATACTTCTTTTTTAAGGTGCGTAAATATGTTAATTGAATCTGGATTAATATCGTATTTTGTGGGGTTTTTTTTGGTATCTTTTTGAACTTTTGGTTAACGTTTTTTGTGTGAACATTTTGCTATTCATCTAATAAACAACATTGTGAAGCTTTTGCATCGTTATAAGCGTAATTCATTATATCCGTTAAGTTTACAATTTTAAAGTCGAGGGGAATTAAAATCCCTTTGCTGTAAGCGTAAATTCATTACAGGTGTGTTCACTATAAGCGTGTTTTACTGTATGTATTATAAAGGGATACATATAAATACTATAATGTATGCAAGAATGCATTATCTACCACAGAGATGGTCCTATATACATGTATGTGATGTGGATCATGAAAGAAATCACGTTCTCTAAGTAGTATGTTCCATAGACAGTGGGTCAAGCTGCTAGCATATCAAGAATAATATCTTGTCTAATAATAACTTTAGGTTCATATATTGAAGAAGATGAAACAAGGATTTTCATTACTTTTTAAAATCATCAAAGTTAGTGCAGTACAGTCATCTGCAACAAATAGGAGAAGATACTAATGATATCTCTATATACTGTTAATATTACATAGATAAATTTTGAATTTTTGTGTATTAGATTTTTCAACGTTTGTTGTTGTAGTTTTGAATATTTTTTTCTTTGATTCATCTTTTTTCATTAAAATAAAAAAAAGTTACGTCCCATGATCATAAACTGAAAAAAGTCTCAGCCCCATTACTTGAAGATATGAAAAAAGTTCCTGACCCTACCGGTCCAATTCTTCGAAAAATTTAGAGCGGTCTCTTAGATTTTTCCTATTACAAGTTTGCTTGTGAAATTATAAGCACTGAAAGTACACTGATATGAAGAATGTAGATTCCACGAGCAAGATTCTATGAGAGTCCAAGATTTTGTTCATTATCCTGGGACAATATCTATAATTCTATCAGAAATAATTCTGAAACCCTAAAGGATACAATGTTTATTATTTCATTTCAAACTGAAAGAACCAAAGATTTTAAAAGCACTGTAGTTAAAAATGTATATGTTGCCCTCTTTTTTAGCTCACTTGAGCCGAACGCTCAACTAAGTGAGGTTTTCTGATCGAAATTGTCCGTTGTCTGTCGTCGTCGCTGTCGTTGTTGTAAACATTTCACATTTTCATCTTCTCCTCAAGAACCACTGAACCAATTTCAACCAAACTTGCCACAAAGTATCCTTTGGTAAAGGGGATTCAAGTTGTTCAAACAAAGAGCCACGTCTTCTTCCAAGGGGAGATAATTATGATTTTGTGAAAAATTAATGGCATTTAAAAATCTTCTTCTTAAGAGCCACTGTGCTTGAAACATGTGGAATCATTTTGGAGTAGTGTAGACTCAAATTTGTTCAAATCATGACCCCCGTGGGTAGGGTGGGCCAACAGTGGGCGATCAAAGTTTTACATAGGAATGCATAGTAAAATCTTTAAAAGTCATCTTCTCAAGAACAGCAAAGCCATGATTAGTCATACTTATATGAAAGCATCCTCGGGTAGTGTAGATTCAAGTTTGTTCAAATAATGACCCCCTGGGGTAGGGTAGGGCCACAGGTGGCGATCAAAGTTTACAAAGCAATACACAGGGAAAATCTTTAAAAATCTTCTTCTCAAGAACAGCGAAACCATGATTGGTCATATTTATATAGAAGCATTCTCAGCAGGGTAGAATAATCAAATCATAACCTTCGGGGGTAGGGTGGGGCCACAATGGATTATCAATGTTTTTCATAGGAGTACATAAGAAAAATCTTCTTTTCGAGAACAGCAAAGCCATGACTGTTCAAAATAAAACTAAAGCATACTCGAGTAATGTAGATTAAAATTTGTTCAAATCACGACCCACCAGGAGTATAGAGGGGACCTAACAGGGGATCATAGTTATACAAAAGAATATAAAGGATATATGAATACAAAAATATTCTTAAGAACAGCAAAGCCAATATAAAGTCATATTAATTCAAAAGCATATATAGGTGGTGTAGGTTCAAGTTTGTTCAAATCATAAGCCCCCCCCCCCCGGAACCCTTTTATTAAACTTTTCAATACTCAACTTATTTCTGCTTTTTCCTAGCTAGAGTGCTAAAAATGTATATGTTGTCCTCGTTTTGAAAATATGTCTAGAAGTGTAAAAAAAAAACCCACTGAAATAAATAATAAATATAGAAACACACGTTAGGGAACTTAATTTCTCTACAATCTATGTTTGACTCACGAATAATAGAATACCCAGCAGAGAGTTTAATATCAAATTAGTTTTAATACATTCGAGTCAGTCGGCTATGGATTCCCGTCTATTGTCTGCAATCGTCCATCAACCTTTGGACATCATCATCCTTTTCTCTGATGAGTTTCATATAAAATTTAATTAAGAATAGAGTGGTATTATTTGAAAAAAAGAGAGAAAAACACTTGAATAGAACACCAGATAATACGGAGGATGGGATGCAAAAGTAAACATGTTATCATTTCGTACAATATAAATGTAGGTACAGTTATAAATTAAATCGATCTCTACACCATTTAAGATGAAGTTATCGAAAATTGTAAAAGAGGTCATTTTATTTCATATTTTTGAGGCTCTAATAACTGCATTCATTTGAAACCTGATATTGGAAAGCTAAAGCTGTCAAATTCCATTTTTTTCCCTGAGACTGGAGTATAAAAAATGTATTAATTGTATTGTGAATTACTGATTTATTCTTTGATACATTAATTTCATATGATACAGTGGGTGTCCCAAAAGAAATACTACGATGGGACCAGGAGGCCAGAGAGCGGTATGTGGAGTATGCTAAGAGAGGAACACAGACAGTCCACCATGCCCGGGGGATGATTGTAGGATGTGCTGGGGCGGGGAAAACCACGCTACTTAAACGTCTGATTGGTTGTAGTGAAGATGTGATAAAGGACGTTAAATCTACTGAGGGATTGGAGGTGCATGAGGAAATATTTGATATATGTGATGAAACAAAATCATTAAGAGGTAACACATTTTTTAATGGTTTTCCATCTTAAGCCTTTGAGATAGATAGAGAGAGAGAGAGATCTTACACAAAACTAAAAATATGATATACTTTAACTTGTGCTTAATCATGCTAATAAATTACTTTCAGCATTGTGATTTTAGCACTTGATTTCTTAAAAGAAAATTTTTAATTAGTTTTTTTACTATGAATTTTAATAGAAAGTCAAAACACCATGCCATTGCTTCTGTAATGTGTAATAATACCAAAATATTGACAGAATGTGAGGTATGCTGATTTTGAAAAATAGAAATGAAAAATAGAAATACTGATTTTGTGATGATTTTTTTAGCAAAGAAAAACAAGGACAACAATGGGAAAACATATACTACAAGTGTTGGCGCCGAAAAGACTTTGACATTCTTTGACTTTGGGGGACAGTGTGCGTACTACGCCTGTCACCAGATTTACCTGACCAGGAGAGCTTTCTACGTAGTGGTGGTGGACGCTTCTAAACGTCTTGACCAGAAGGTGGATAAAGAAGTGTGTGATCAAGATGGAAGCGTGTTCTCTGGATGGTCGTATGGAGGTATAATTTTGACAACGAAACATTTATGTTATTTCTGTCCCTCTCATTAAATATTACATGTTTGATCTTCAAATAGGTGCCGTAAAACATTTTCGGTAAATCCTACTACTGTTTTAATGATTATATGTATTGGGAAAAAAACATGACGAGATGCATTACGAATGACAATGTATGATTGGTCAGTTCATATGTCAGTTCTCTTATTTTTTGTCGTCTTCGTTTGCGCTCAAGCACATAATCTATTAAGTTCACAATCATGATAATGATAGGGAACCATACATTTCATGCATTTTAAACCATACATTTTACAATATTTTTTCCATTGTAAAGAAAAGATAATGCACTCAATCCATTGCATATAAACAAGCAATAATGAAACAAAAACAAGATCTCCAACAACAAGAATACACTTTTTAGCTCACCAGAGCTTTTCTGATCGAAAGAACTACGCACGCTAACTCTCGATTCCCGCCTACTTTTTAAACCCATTTAATTTAATACTAATGGCAATTTGGCCGTAAAATTTTGTTGAATGCAAAGACTAGTTCAATGGTAATTGACTGATAATTTTGATAACAGTGTTAAGTAGTTAATTACCCCTTATTCCAGCTCTTTAAATGGGGGGTGGGTGGGGGTAGATAATATTTTCCATTGAAATCGGGGTTTAAAGCATCACCACATTTTAAAATATTCTTGGATATGAGTAAATGTTCCTTAAATGTTTAACGCATATAAAATTAAGCACATATCATTAATAAAATACAATGTTTTAGTTGTAAACTCCTTTGAAATTGGTGGAAAAAAAAATAAGCATTTTTGTACTTTTTGGTCTGTAGACATATGCCCCCCCCCCCCCCCGTGAAACACAAAAAGCTTTGTTATGAAATTGTGAAATGACAGTCTATATTACCTGTAAAAAGGAATTTTCGTTTCTTTGGGGGGGGGGGGGAGACGTTTTAAAAATATTTTCCATTTTCCGTTGATTTCTATAGTGAAAAACACAAGTTTTACCAAAATTATAGAGTTATCTCTCTTTCTTTTCCCAAAGAACTAATGTCCTATGAAAATTCATATAAATATCTCTTATAATTATGAAAAATCATTCAAATGTGTTAACTTTTAAAAATTGACTTGGGGGTAGGCGAGAGAACAATACTATCGTTCGCAGTTCTTTTTCTGTTTTCTGTCGGCGTTATCGTGTTATCGTTGTCGTAAACTTTTCACAATTTCATCTTCTTCTCCAAAACTACTGGGCCAATTTCAAGCAAACTTGGCATAGAGTATCCTCAGGTGAAGGGAATTCTCTGTTCAAATGAAGGGTCATACCCTCGTCCAAGGGGAGATAATTACGAAATAGCAAAAATTAAAGGCATCATTGAAAAATCTTCTCAAGAACCAGTGGGCTAGGATAGATGAGACTCATGTAGAATCATTGTCAGATAGTGTAGATTCAAATTTATTCAAATCATGACCCCCTTGGGTAGGGTAGGGCCACAATGGAAGATCAAAGTTTTACATAGGAATATACATGATATATATACTGAAACGCAAAAGAAACGCAACATCATATTTTAGAGGGAAATATTACATAAAGGATATAATTTTGTATCTAAAAAGTAAGGACATCTTCAACTTTTTAAATATCGGTAATTTTGCGGTTGAATGATTTTCATACCATTACCGGAAGTTAAGTTTGAGTCTGCTTAACAGAAATCAAAAAGTGCATGTTTAACAAAACATTTGTCAATAGTATGGGGGCTTTAAGGATTTCATTGTATCTATTCATCATTAGTCAGCCCACGGGCTGACTATTTACGGTGGGATGAAACTGCAAGTGCGCTTGCGTAATTTGGAAATCTGGGAAAAAGATGTACACGACTTGTTCTAAAGAAACTCGTACTATTTGCTCCAACCAGAGGGCGTGATTCTTCATGCACGCTACACGACCTCGATCTATTTATAGACTGCATTGTTCTTCGTCGTTCTCGACGAGAAATTAAAGACACAGATTGTTCTAAGAGGGAAATGTGATACTGTGAAAATATTTCAGTGCTTCTGATAGAAAATGAGAAGTTACATATATAGCACATTTAACACTTGATACATATACCCTCAATCGCCGTTGCAAGTTCACGGATTTGTGTGTATTCCTCTGGGTGCCTGATGCAAGACTCCCTCGATCAATACCTTGCATAAGACATGTACGGGTCGGAATTCACACTTGCCACAAAGGTTCCCAAAACAGTGAAAAAAAAAAGAATATGAAAGTTATGAAAACATCAGAAGACCACTGTAAGACAGTAAATTCTTATAATGCATGATGATATAGACGTGCAAGTGCCGCATGTGCAAGTGAACCGCGCCCACAGGTGAGAAACTGACCACAGTAGAACTGCGATAGTTGAGAGAAACTGCGCGGATTAATAGACAGACCCCCCCCCCAAACCAATTATAAAGAGTGAGCGAGATGGAATCCAGTATGTTAATCTAGTTTTGCTTTGATGGTAGACATCATTCGTTACATTTTAGGGTATACGTACTGCATGTATAAAATTATTTTGAATTCCCAGTTTATTACTTTTAATTTGGAAGCAAATATTTTCATTCCTAATAACAATAAAATGGATGCTTGAATTTAGAAATTGATTTAAATATACATGCAGTATGCACCCCTGCCCCCTTCCCAAATCATGCATTGCCTCGAACCTGCATGATTAAAAAAATTATCTAATAATAATTAAAACACTCTAACCTAATCATAATCTACATGTATATCACTGTAGAATTTAACAGAAAAAAATGAAAATGTATACATTCGTCAACGTTCAATGATTGGGATCTTAATGGCTTTGTTCATTTCTGAGACGAACTTTCTCTGATGTCCGCGCCCAATTCATGGAGGTCATCATAATGATAATGATATTTATTCTAGGCTTTTTAATTTATTATGTACAGCATTATGCATGTTACAAATAAGAAAACGGTTAGACGAATTTTAACTTAGATTGCAATCACTTTTAAGGAACACAGTATGATGGATAAAACAAATCATATGCCATCACAAAACAAGAAAGAAACTTTCTGCATTCCAGTGGCTGACTCTCAGCTTTTTTTTAAAAGCTAACCTTGTAAGTAATATAGCAATGTTCCGAAAAATAAATTCCCCTTTCTTTACTATAAGCGATGCCAAGGCTTCCTGAAAATGACTTAAGTAAGCATATCCATTGCTCTAAGTGTGAAATCTGGTGAAGAGTTGCAGATGCAAATATGACCCACATCACGCTTCAACAGACTCTTACGTATCATTAGCATGAACGACATTCCTTGGACAGGAAGTCCAAGGGTTACTATACTGCGCTTGGCTTGAAAAAAATCGACTTCATCATCTGAAAAAACAGGCATTTAAAAATGGCAAAGAATATTTCTTTCGCTCAGATCTCGAGATTGATTAACCTATTACATCGTAGAAATCAAGCTGCAACTGTTGCGCATTGCATTTTTGCACGCTGTAATTGTATGGCCGAGGTGGGGGTGTTTTAACAGTCATTGGTTACTTTCTAAAGTTAAAAGATAGTTATTTAACATTTTTATCAAATCTCTGATGTTTTCAAATCGGGTTTTACCTTAGTGTATTCATTTTTGAAAATATTAGATAAAAAATTCAAATATTTGTAGATTACTGCTTGTTCCCTTTCTTTTGCGTTTCAGTATAGGAAAATCTTTTAAAAATCTTCTTCACAAGAACAGCAAAGATGAAAAGTTCTACTAGAATCCTATTCTCCTGAAACTGAAAAAAAAAATATTCCAGAGTTTCGTATGAAACCTTACCAAAATTTTCACATTTTGTACATGCGATCAAGGAATTGTCATCAATTCATGTTAACCACATGATCTAGCACCACTTTGCAAGTACTATAGAATAAAAGCTTTCGATGCAAACAAAAATTATGTTTCAAAGTATGTGTTGGACTTGCGCATCTTTGTTGTTGGAAAGACAGAGATCGGGATTGGTCATATTTATATGGAAGCATCCTCAGGAAGTGTAGATTCAACTTTGTTTAAGCCATGACCCCCGGAGATAGGGTGGGACCACAATGGATGATCAAAGTTCAACATAGGAGTATATTGGAGAAATCTTTAAAATTCTTCTTATCAAGAACCACTGGGTCAGGAAAGATGAAACTCATGTGGAATCATTGACAGGTAGTGTGGATTCAAGTTTGGTCAAATCATGACTCCAAGGGGTAGGGTGGGGACACAGTGGACAATCAAAGTTTTACACAGGAGAATATAGGGAAAATATTTGAAAATCTTCTTCTCAAGAACCAGTGGGCCAGGAAAGATGAAACTCATGTGGAATCATTGACAGGTAGTGTGGATTCAAGTTTGGTCAAATCATGACTCCAAGGGGTAGGGTGGTGCCACAATGGATGATCAAAGTTTTACATAGGAGTATATAGGAAAAGTTTTAAAAAATCTTCTTCTCAAGAACAACAAAGCCACGGCTGGTCATATTTATATGGAAGTATCCTCAGATAGTGTAGATTCAAGTTTGTTCAAATCATGACCCCTGGGCTAGGGTGGGGCCACAATGAAAGTTTAAACTTGTATAAATAAGTCACAGTTAGTCAATTTAGAATAATATGTAAGCATCCTTAGTCAGTGTAGATTTAATTTTGTTCAAATCATACCCCGCCCCTCTCCCTTTTAGGGTTAGATCGGGACCACTTATGCATTTATGCTTTTCAATACTAAACTGATTTTTGCTTTTTTCTAGCTACAGTGCTAAGGTGAGCGATGTGGCCCCTGGGTCTCTTGTTGGAAATCGGTTAATTATTCAAATTTCTCATTTGATTTGAATTTATCTTTTCTCTCCCGAGCAACAGGGGCAATAGAATATTTTATTTTATAAATGCAAACAGTAAGTTTTTCTGAGTGGGATGGGGCTCGGTGTGGGGGTGGGGGTGCTGATTTGTATATATCCGAATAGATAAAAACTC